GATTAATCCTAACCATATACAGAATATATATATGCTCATATAACTTCGCTTATTGTTTATATGCAAAGTGATCGACAGACTCTGTACGCCACCTTCTGTTGATTTCACCACACCGTCCGGCATAACGTGCGCAATGTGGTGCTTTTCGGCATGTTTGGTGTCATACTCGCCCGCTCAGCACGATGCAAAATGAACATCAGTTATATTAGGAACTAGTTAGGATCAGTGCGAGTTATGTATGCACCAATATAGGGCATTGAGTTGTATTCAACAAATATACATGACCTGTTGGATATTCGGTTTAACAGTCTGATGAAACTTTATACGAAAGCATATGCGTACACGCGCTATTTTAACTCAGGACTGCATAGGCTCAAATTGTGTCCTCGGGGTAAGCACGGTGCAGAATGGTAATTTACGCAGCCCTTGCACTTATAATCTTTCGCGCCGAGACGATCACACAAACTATAAGTAAGTGTTCACTGGTCAAGTAGTGCATAAAAGTGGCTTAAACATTTAGCATCATAACCGGGTTAAACCTTGCTGCATAATTTACAAGCAGGCAAAGCTAGTGGTATCGTACTCCATAGATATTGACCTCGCCTGAATTAGTGTGATATGATACCTGTTTTTAGCCTTTTTTTACCTAATTCCCCTTTATTCATGTGCATACAGGTATTAAACTCATAGCGTCCTCGTATGATTCAATGGAGGAAGTACAAAGGCTATACCCCGAGAGTGTGCCGATCCTTAAGCGATTGAATGAGTATAGCAGCTCGCCATTGTGTACGGTCATGCATGGTATGTCGTCCCATTTTGTCCTCTCGATTGATTGATGACGCGGCCTCTTCTCATGGTCCTGAGAATACCTCCAGAAGTCCCGTTGGTGTGGCACCTCATCGTGCGATCTACGAATTGATTCAACTGACGTATATATTATCACATCATGTACGTAGTATGATTTATTGATAGATATGTGTACGTAGTGCACGGATACCTTCAGCAAGTTGCATTACGAGATACGTGTTTCTGCCCTGTCTATACCGCCTATGATTTATTACTAAATCAATATTTTTAAACATCGGTATGTGTAAAAGAGAATGTTTATTTTCACTCTTGAGAGTACCACTGGGTTCTAGTGAAATTATCAGTTTGCATCACTATGAGCAACTCAACTATATATAACCCGCTGTTGGTGTGTATACATTCTCACAAATTTGTCGTAGAAGAAGCTCTTCCCATTTGTCCGGAGCGTGTTGTGGCATTGAAACCGAAATCTGTGTAGGTCTGGTCGCTGATACTATCTTACGGTACGGATGTTCCTAAAGATATCAGAGTTACATTTTATCGTGTTCAATCTGCGCTCTCACAAACAGCCGCGATCGATTCCACCTCGACATCGCGCTGTATTGTGCTATTCGATACTGTACACGTCCACTGTACATGTTAGAGTGCTTTAAACTACAGCTCAATATTTGCTAGACAGTTAATAAACTCAATCTTTGCTAGACTGTTGATTGTGTGCTAGAATACCACTTATCATCATGCAGATGTTTTCTTGGGTTTTGCTTCACAGAGGTCGACGCGCTACGGCTTTGCGAAGCATTCCCTGACGAGAAATTCGACCGCATCATCTGGAATCACCCACATCTAGGTATGTACTTTCGCTCTCCTGGTTTATTACCATCATGTGGTGATATCTTGATAGAACGTCCGTGGGATATTGTGTACTGTGAGTGACTTTTGCTTTATAGCAAGTTTACTCTCTCGATCGCTGCACAATGCCTCCGAGGGACATATATATATATATATATCATAGCATCAACTTCTATAGGTTTATCAATGTATCATACTATATTGCGCGTCGTATCGGCGCCTTCCTTGGGTCAATTCTTTGTGGGTATTCCGGTCGAATTTAATGGCGTAAAGTTGAATGGTCTAATACATTCAAAATGCGTACATATTACCACGTAACTGTCTACATTGCAATAACTGCTCAATTTATCTCACCGCTTGTACTGCAGGTGTGGAGGACTTCCGCGCTCACCAGGCCGCCATGGCTCACTTCTTCGACAGCTGTAAGGCATGCCTGCGCGAAAACGGCCTGGTGTGTAAACCCGAGTATTTATATTGTGTGCAAGCACTCGCGTCGTGTATCTCTATTCAGCGTGCAGCCCTCTATTCGTGTGGAGTGTGTTTGGGGCCAGTACGTGATGCGCTGATGCAGAGAGTTTGCGCGTGGAAGATCGGCAGGCACAATCAAGGTACGAAGTCTGTCGATAACACCCGTCTCGATGTCGTTCGTTAAGTGAAACGGTACGTTCGTCCATTCTTCTGTCACAGGTTTATATCAGCCTAGTGCAGGGACAACATGAAAGGTGGCGGGTTCTCGATAGCGCGGATTGGAATGACTTTGAACTAGTAGAATCGCCTGCGTTGCGGGCAGGCGAGTTTCCAGGTATATATGGTGATCGTCGTACATACTAGCTCAATTGCATATAGGGCGTAGTGTGTGTGTAGTCGTGTATGCGTATGTATTGATTGTATACTTTGCGGACGTTTTATAGGCGTGCATCGGGCCATGCCATCCCCCACCATGACATCACACACACAGAAGTATCAGTTCTGTTCCAAAGTCCATATATGCTTGTCATAGTTTTGTGTGCGTACTTGGCCCACTGACGACATCCCCCGCCTAAAAAATCATGCGCCGTGTGCAGGTCGTATCATGCTATTGGCCCATACATCGACTACATTGATTGAATCGTGCTTGGTTTGCAGAGTTCTTATGTACGTTGGTTGATACGCAGTGTTTAATCGTAAATTGTGATCTGTCCACAGGGTATGAAGTCAGGAGGAATAAAACAGGGGCCACTTTTAAGGCCACGTCCACACAGCGTAGACTGAACCAACCCATGCAAAGCTACACGCACATATACCGAAGGAAAACAGCTCATGTTACCAGCAGTGGGCAAAGCGACCCAGAGATCAGTAGGAGTGTTGGGGAGTTAGAGGCCAATGGGAGAGGTGTCGAGCAAACTGATGCGTTACCGACAGATTTGCCTGTGTCCGCCATGGTATCTTCGCCGGAAAGCAAAGTGGTAGTTTGCGAGAATGCAAAGGTAAATGGGGATTCAAGAGCATCAGTGTACAGGGCATTGGTAGAAAGTGCGGTAGGTCATAGTAATAGTGAGGTATCCGATTCGGCGGGTATACAGAATAGCGAAGCAACCGCAGCCGCCACTACCTCAAAATCCATCTCGGCAAGGAGTCTGGATCAACGCTCTACCTCGGTACAGATAGATTCAGTGGTACCCGAGATATCCCATGGTGGTGATAACGTTGATAGTGCGGTGGTAAGTCCAGTAGTGAGTGATCCGGGCCAGCATGATCTAGACCGAACAGATAAGGTCCCGAAGCACAAAAAAAAGAAGAAAAGTAAAGCAGAACGGAAAGCGGAGACAGACGCGGCGGACAACGAACCACCCGGTGGCTACGTGGTAGGTTGGCAGAAATCGAAAGGTTTCGAGAATAGAAACCCAGTGTTTGCATGAGCTTACACTCGGAGCTTTGCATCGTGAATATTTAGGGGGAATGTATATGTTATGAGTGTACAGGTGTATGTCTGTCATATTTTCCTGTATGTATTCGGGAATTTCTGGGCTCTCTAGAGTTACGTACCTCTCATACCTTTTAACTAGACGATCCTTACATACGAGTGAGCCGATATCATCTGTGTATGTGAACGGTGTGTCATTTGAGCCAGAGCTATGCTGTACGCTCCAGGTTGCCTAATCCAGCGTTTTTTTTTCCCTCTAACTCTGTGCCCGCTTTGTACAGTGTGAGATCTGCGGCAAAGAAATACCTTCCTCAAGGGGCCTGAAACAGCATATACAGTAAGTCCTGATTTCACTTATAATTGTTGTCATCTTCGCATAGCGGCATTTGTGCGATGTTGCCATGTGTTCTCGTGTCCACTGAAGATAGGTATGCGATGTAGCTGAGCTGTGAAACCGCGCCTTCGTCTGATGATAGAGATATGCCATGCTTGTTGTGGAATTCACATGTCGAATATCTTAGTAATCCTTCCATTGAATATGGTCATACTTGAAATTCCCTTATATACTATGACGAAAAATAGCCGATATGAAACTTATATATTATTATAATAAGCAAACTTATCGTCTACAATTTTTATTTCTTTATGAATGTAGTACCGAAATCTCTACATACACAAACAGAGGGATTATGTCTCGATTAATGGCATGTGTAATGCCTGTGTATCCCACCTTGCATGTTAACTTTGACCAAACTCTGCTTTGCCTCGTATACCGATTCTCTTATTTTAAGGGTATGAGAATATTGCTGTATGTATGTGGTCTTGCTTCGTCTTTTGTGTGTCAGCTGTAACGAAAATATCCCTTTCTTTGATTTACAGATTCGTTCACGAGCAGCAGTTATATGGCAGTGAATGGACACCGAATAAACCGGCGGATATTAAATGCGCTAAGTGTGATAATATGTTCGCCTATGAGAAAGATCGCGACCAGGTAGGTTGTCAGCAGGCGCACTTCACCATTTTGCACGTAAGCTTTATCATGTAGCTGCAATAAGTGCTGAGTGGGGGGAGCCTGGCCAACAAAACTTTGTATATATTGGTTCATCTGATATTCCAACATTTCAAC